CACTTGGTTTGGTCTTACCATTCTTCCACTTTATTCAAGGGGTTGGTATCGTTTTTGCAATCTATCGTTTTATCATAAAGACCTATGAGAACCTCTTACTGCGCTTTCTGTCATTGTTACCATGAGTTCCTAAATGGGACCGTTGACTGGATTCCTTCCTTAATATTTCGCTGAAGTCATCCTAATTAGCTAGCGCCATCCTTAGCACCTATATACTAATTGTCAGAATGACAAGTAATGGCCATGATCAGTTTTCCGTCTAACTATCTTTGTTCGATGTGTGAAATGGAGCTACCCGCCAATTTATTACTTTTTGTTGTAATTTAAAAAAATTAATCGAAGCTATAAAGACCAAGATGGTGTGGCCCTTTGTGTGGTCGCAGTCTCCTTTCGTTGTATACAAGTTGCTTGACCTTGTTTTCGCAACTTGGTCATATTGGTAGGAAGACTTAGAGGAACGCACCTACTCCGAAGTCCATTGTATGCATGATAATTTTCAAAGTCGGACAGTGGACGTGGTACATTCCCAGACGTTTCGCCGGCATCGTCAATAAGTTTTTTCATTCTTAGCACTACACTACAATTCGTCAAAGAGACTAGTGAACCCGATCCCTTGACCAATTATCTGCTAAACAATAATGGTATCTCTCCTCCCCTGGGCCAATCACCAATTCTATATTCTCGTATCACGTCTTCACCATTACAATTTTTACTTGCTTATTTAAATATGGTATGGTGTCCCCTTTTGAGCGGCTTTCATGAGAACTCTCCACACTTCACGCTGGCTTTCTCACTCTCCTTCACCCTTGTGCTAGGAATCTTAATCGGAGTCTGCCATATTGTTACACAGTCCTCCTTCTATAGGTCTTATTAGAGTCTCTATCTTGCCCCGTATGATCCGTCTGCTATCTCCCTGCTTCAAGTATTTCACTCGACCCCTGCCACCCCATCTGTTCTACTCGAGGAATTAGCTCCCACACTCTGATTATGGGAGAGTAACTCGAGGCTAAAGCTCTTGAGCAATTCTTATGGTCAAGCCATTGCTTCATGGACTACGTCTATGGTAAAACAGGCTTACGGTTAGCCAACTAGCTCTAGTCTCCGCCGCGTTTATCCTGTTTCTATCCCAAATACTAAGTCTATGATTTCCTATACCCTAGTCTCTTGCGTGCCAACTTACAAATGTTTCGGTTCAACATTGAACCTAATCAAAACAAGCAGTTAGTCTTCCAGAGGCAGAGTGTGGGAAATAACGCCTCGAATAGCACAGATGGGGTGGCAGAGGTCAAGTGCAATATGTGAACCAGGGAGATAGCAGACGGATCTTACGGGGCAAGATGGAGACTCTGATAAGACCTATAGAAGGGGGACTGCGTAACAATATGGCAGACTCTGATCAAGATTCCCAGCACGAGAGTGAAGGAGGATGAGAAAGCCAGCGTGAAGTGCTCTCATTAAAGCCGCTCAACAGGGTACACGATACCAAAATTTAAATAAGCAAATAAAAATAGTGTTATTGAAGGCGTGATACG